ATATAAACAGTTTTACTTTTTTTTCTTGTTTTTTTTTTCGTCGATCTTATTTTCCGTACTGAGTACCAATGCTCCCGACGTAAGGAAGGCAGCTCTCACACCTGGATCCTACCTATCGACTCATCAACTCATGAACCGGAGAGATTTTATGCCTCAGAAAGGTTTTACTGTTTATTACAAAAAGAAAACAAAACATAAAAATTATTATTGAATCAAGAAACATATTTTTATTTCTACCGCATATTATCAGGCTTAATAAAATAAATATGATTGAATCCGAGATTGAATCAACAAGAAATTTCTTTTAAAACAGACATATTTTTTGTTGACATAGCTGCCAAATTTGACAGCTCACGTCAAAACCATGAAAGATCTTGTAAATTCGAAAAGATTTTATTTTTGATTTAACAATCCATGGGTTGTAAGAAACAAAGATACTGGATTGTTGAAACAATAATGATTTCTTTTTTACGGCCAAAACAACATGAAATTCTTATTAATTTTACGCGAGAGGAACGACTCTATCTACGCTGCAGGAAAGATTGTGTTGTGTTGTGGCTAGCTGCTCGCACGCTGAGTAGATAGAAAGAAGATTGATGACGATTCTGAAGATTTCCTGCAAAAAAATGATGCTCGATGCAAGTAGATGCGAGAAATGCAAGAAGATTTTTCGAAGATTGATTCGCTAGTGTGAGATTTTTTGAGCATCTAAAATTGAGATTTAGATGTGTCGCCCCCTCGATTTTACGTCAAATATTATTACGTTTAAAAATTTTTTCTGCGTATAACGTTATGTACATCCGAAAACATTCCTAAAACGTTTGGTTCTAATCAGGGTTACTTCCACTCACTTGCTATAAAAAAATTGTTTTTCCGAATTATGAAAACAATAGATGTTATAGTGATAATTAGAACAGTAAGTTACAATAAGAGGTCGTGAAGTATGTGTTTGACTCATTAAACCTGTCAATTTCACTTTCAGAGCGTCACAATCAGCGATCTTATGATTCGCGAGCGTTCACTCAGAGTGAGCGCTCACGAATCGTTTAATCACTGATTGTAACGCACTGAAAGCAATATTGACAGGTTTTATGTATCAAACATATTCTTCACGACGCCTTCTTGTAGCTTACAAGTACTAATTATCACTGTAACATCTAATGTTTTCATAATTCGGAAAAACAATTTTTCATAGCAAGTGAGTGGAAGTAACCCTGGTTCTAATGTCAAAAGATTGAAATTATTGCCGTCAGAACGACATTAGAATATTTAACTTTTTATTTCAAAATTTCTGATGTATACACCATGTTACTTTGCTTAAATACAACTAAATCATAATGTTTTCTAATGTTTGACATCAGAAATACATTTGATTTCGATGCTGTGCAAGTACTCAACACCACTGTACAAGTACTCAACACCACTTGGCACTGATGCAGTCTGCAAGTAGTAGACGAAATACGCGTATCGGTCAAAAGATAAGCAATTATAACGGAATTTAAAGGAGATAAACCAACCCAATCAAAGATCATAAAGGAATTCCGTTAAGAGGTTCGACAAATTTAAAGGATTTACTGGAGGTTGTTTGCTCCAGCTCGGATTAGCCTCCCTGTTTGAATGATCTGCAAGGTGTTTCCTTAGAGTCGTGTTAATTAACTCTGATATCAACATCAAAGCAGCACCGGTGCGAGCTTACCACCAGAAAAGATGGCTGAGCACACCGCAAAAAAACACATCAAAATTGCTATATAAAAACGCCCAATGTCAAATGACGTCACTTTTGCGCCGGCAATTCGTGTGGGTTTCTATATACTAGTAATTGAATTCTCATGTAATTTGATGTGTCGCATGATGGGTTTGACCCTAATCAGATGTTGGCTTCTTCCCCGGGGACACCCAGAATATATCCGAATCTGGCCAAAGCGGTTCTTGGAACTCAATTTGAGTTCCATTGAACCAGTCATAGAATTCTCATGTAATTTGATGTGTCGCATGATGGGTTTGACCCTAATCACATGTTGGCTTCTTCCCCCGGGACACCCGGAATATGTCCGAATCTGGCCAAAGTGGTTCTTGGAACTAAATTTGAGTTCTATACAACAGGTCATAGAATTCTCATGTAATTTGATGTGTGACATGATGGGTTTGACCCTAATCAAATGTTGGCTTCTTCCCCCGGGACACCCGGAATATGTCCGGATGTGACCAAAGCGGTTCTTGGAACTAAATTTGAGTTCCATTGAATAAGTCATAGAATTCTCATGTAATTTGATGTGTAGCATGATTTTTTTTTTTTTTTTATCTTTATTAAGGAGACTTTCAGCCCTGGGCTGGTTCGTCTCCGGCGTGTAGCATGATGGGTTTGACCCTAATCAGATGTTAGCTTCTTTCCCCGGGACACCCGGAATATGTCCGAATCTGGCCCAAGCGGTCCTTGGAACTAATTTTCAGTTCCATTGAACCAGTTATAGAATTCTCATGTAATTTGATGTGTCGCATGATGGGTTTGACCCTAATCAGATGTTGGCTTCTTCCCCCGGGACACCCGGAGTATGTCCGAATGTGGCCCAAGCGGTTCTTGGAACTAAATTTCAGTTGCATTGAACCAGTCATAGAATTCTCATGTAATTTGATGTGTCGCATGATGGGTTTGACGGTTTGACCCTAATCAGATGTTGGCTTCTTCCCCCGGGACACCCGGAATATGTCCGGATCTGGCCAAAGTGGTCCTTGGAACTCAATTTGAGTTCCATTGAATAAGTCATAGAATTCTCATGTAATTTGATGTGTGACATGATGGGTTTGACCCTAATCAAATGTTGGCTTCTTCCCCCGGGACACCCGTAATATGTCCGGATGTGGCCAAAGTGGTTCTTGGAACTAAATTTGAGTTCTATTGAACAGGTCATAGAATTCTCATGTAATTTGAAGTGCCGCATCATGTGGTTAAACCTAATAAAATCTAATCAGTTACTGGATGCTTCCGCCAGGGCACCCGTGATAGGCCTGAACCTGAATGATGAGGCATTCCCGGGAATATCGTCTGATTCTGGGTAGTTTGTAAGTTTGTATGTTGTTATTGTTAGTTTAAGATATGTAAATGAATTATTGTTCATAAATCATTTTTAATAAAGTCATGTGAAGGGTTCAACATTATTTACTTTTTATTATTACACCGAAAATATTTTTCATGTAGCTTCAATTGGAAACTCACATGATTTTCATCCATCATCAAAATTCATCTCCAGGAATTCATCTGTATTTCACATAGCATTTATGCGATGACATTAATTTTATATGATTTTTCACATGAATTTCATCGGCCTTATAATATTCATGTGATTTTGTGGAGGGATTTGCAGCTATGTGATCACAGGAAAGCTATATGAAAATCACATGGTTTTCATCTATTAGATATGTGATAAATTTTGTGAGTGTAAAATTGCAAAAAGAAAGAAAATGGTGGTGCACAAACTACAGCCGCCGGGTAGCGCACCGGGGCAGCTGGGGGCGGACAAAGGGCGACCAAAGCGACCGATTTATCGGTAGTCCTACCGATTTTCGGGATGCCTACCGATTCACAGACAAAAGGTTAAAAACTACCGATTTTTCACTTTTCCTACAGAGAATCACAGATTTTTAGTAATCTTGGAAATTTTTCAATACCTATGTGTTCTTCTGTTTGTTCTTGTAGTCAGAATAATTCAGGCATAACATTTGATAACGGCACAAAAGCATTTGTAAACAAACTAAGGCCCTTTACACGCGAACCAAAGTACGCCCACGCAAACCAATACCACTTTCGGAAAGGTGATAGTTGCCCCTATCCGATGATGTTGTTGGTTTGCGTAGGCGTACTTTGGTTCGCGTGTAAAGGGCCTTAGAAAGTTTGTTTACAAATGCTTTTGTGCCGTTATCAAAAGAATTATTCTTAGCATTAGAATTAGAAATCAGTGCCAACATTTCAAAGGGGCATAATTGCTTTTGTAAACAATGAATTTAGCCGTCAATTTCTCGCGAATGAAATCTTACCTCTCCAAAATTACAATGCTAGCTGGTAGAGGTTATATTCCTCTACCTTCTGGTGTCATTATTTTTCATGAGTGAGCTTTAATTCGCGAGAAATCGACGGCTAAAGCCATTGTTTACAAATGCAATTGCGCCCCTTTGAAATGTTGGCACTGAAATATTGATTTCGACACGTTTAAAACAGAAGAACTGAAGGACAGTCCCCACGCTCACAAAGGTTTCAAGTATCGGGAAAGCCTTGTTCAGACGGCCTACCGATAACTACCGATAAAAGTTTTGAGAAGCTACCGATTACGAAAAAAATAATCTGGCCACCCTGCCAAAGCGGCTAAAACGGTCCGTGAACGCGCTGCTGGTGATTCGCCCGCTGTATAGACGAGTGCATGGATGGATTTGAGTTCACTCACTCGACAAAAAGTGACACAACAGCGGGGCCCTGTTTACTAATAATGAACACATATGTGTTGATTTATAGTAAACAGGGCCCCGCTGTTGTGTCACTTTTTGTCGAGTGAGTGAACTCAAATCCATCCGTGCACTCGTCAATGTGGGACACTGGTTACTGGTTGAAATATTTCACATACCCTGTGGAATGACAGAGTAATAAATTTGTTTTATTGTTGGTATTAGTAGTATGTATTTATTTCGTCCATTTTTGGTACCTACCACGATTTTTGGAAAGAATAAACTTATAGCCAATACCTTTACATTGATGTTGATATATTTCTAAATAAGTATTCAAGTGAGTATCTAATTATGTAATATTTATTATGATTCCTGCGGTATTTTGTTTGTTTATTGCACAATAACGATTTGATGCTACAAATACTTCGAGAATTACGTTCGGAATGAGATCATCATACCTCCTACATGGACATCGCCCAACACATTTATACCAACCGGCATGGCAGTATACTAAAATACTACTTAGTAAACCTTTGCTAGTAGGTTTGTATAAAAGTGAATTTGCTTCAACGATTCAGTGTAATTTGTATTCTTGTTTCGGTACAGTGGTACCTCTCAGTGCGCTCAGAATTGTTGTTGCATTATCAACCTTCCCATTAGTATTCTGTACAAATCAGTATTCAAAGATGACCCAAACAGCAGATGCCCAGTTTGTTCGCAAAACCAACGACTTTGCTCTGGAGTTGTATAAGGTAGGTGCATATGAAAAACCAAAAAAAAATATTTCGGTGAATTTCAGCAGATGATTCATGCTCAATCAATGTTTATTTTCATAATTGTTTATCAGTTAGAAATAAATCCCAGGGCTGTGTAGTGTCGATAAGAAATATAAGAAACAACTAAGGCTGTGTAACTGCTGTGTTCCATTTGGTGAATTTTCACTTTAATTTGAAAGATGGAAAATTTTCAAATAAACCTGCTTTTCCAGCAGACTTATTTCTGCTAGACAAGCAATCAATTTTGTTTGACAGACACTTTTTCGAAAATTGGTCGATCAACAAAAGAGGGATTTTCTAACATCTTCGAAGTTTCAAATTTAAGTGAAAATTTTCCAAATAGAACATAGTCTAAATATGATGATAATGTTAACTTTCTAATTATAAATTTATGCATTGACAATCCCTGGCTAACTGATCACTTTGAGACGTAAATATCAAAATAATTTTTATACAAATAAAAAATATGTGGGGTTGTGTACAAGACACGTCCGCATGGTTGACGTAGAAGGTTGGGCTTTTTCAGGTGATTCATTGAGCGGCGCCGGTGGTGTTGTGGTAAGCGTGATTGCCTCTCACCCCAGCAGGCCTGGGTTCAATTCCAGTCGGCGCCGCCGGGATGTTCTGAGGCATAACAACTTTGATCACGCCTTCCTTCGGAAGGGGAAGTAAACCCGTTGGTCCTCGGTTCATGAGTTGATGGATTGATAGGTAGGGTCCAGGTGTGGGAACTGCCTCCCTGGCGTCGGTATTATATTGGTGCTCAGCACGGAAAACAAATCAAGAAAAAAAAGGTGATTCATTGAAGTGTCCAACAATAACCGGTCATGATGGCTGATATTCCCAATCACTTTAGATTTCTAGAGCACAAATCTTGGACGGTCGTGACATCACTCCTGAAATTCGAACTCCTTGTGTATTGCACTGCAGCAAACGTGAAGTTTCAATTTATTTGTTATAAGTTTTGTGAGAGCTGATATTTGTGCTCATGAAATTTTAAGGTGGTAATGAGTTTGATCAGAAATAAGGTTTCCACCGAGGGGGCGACTCTACCTGCGATGTAGGAAAGATTTTGTTTTGCTATGGTTAGCTGCCCGCACGCTTAGTAGATAGAAAGCAGATTGATGACAATTCTGAAGATTTTCTGCAAAAAGATGATGCGCGATGCAAGTAGATGCGAAAAATGAGGATTGTTCGAAGACTCATTTGCTAGTGCGAGATTTTTCGAGCATCTAGAAGTGAGATTTAGATGTGTCGCCCTCCTCCGTTTCCACAGCGATTTAACTTCAAAACGCTAAAAAAAAAACGGAGTGCACAGTTTTGCCACAATGTTATGCAAAATTTCGTAGTTGATCGGGAATATCTCGATTAGCAATAAATCCCTCCAATAAGATCTCTGTTCATCTTTAATTCACCGATTGAGCAAAAAAAAACTAAATATTGCTGTTATTTTTAGATTTCGTTTGCGTTTTGTGGACGCACATGCATCATTTGGCATATGAACACGGGGCGTTTCTGTGGTGCATGCATAACTTGGATTAACATTTCTTGGTTGCGTTTGCTGTTGCTTTTGATAGCCAATACAACCTGTTACAAGTACTGTATTGGACAAATTTCAGAAAATTGCTTCCCTTTGAATTGATCATCGCCTGGGCCCTTGTGCATGCTCACTGTCAATTTCTCGGTGCATTTTCTGTTGCTATGCCTCACCCCCATCAGCAAAAATCCGGGAATTTATTAACCGTTCTATAGACCTTTTTGACATTTAATCGTCTTCCTCTATCTAGCACACAGGGATGAATGGATGGTTTGTTTTCCCACTAATCTGTTTCTCTCTTGCTCACACTTCTTCAGTTTAAATGGTGCATTAGTGTGCACCGAATAAACGTCAAAAAGCTCTATAGCATAATTTTCCAAGTTGGATGGACTTACATAGCTTATCAAAAAGCATAAATAGAGGTACCGTCTTATAATTTTTAATTTTTAATTAATTAAATCTTCAACATAATGTTGTACAGATATTTTCTAAGCTAGGTGTCGAATTCTATGTCTGTAGTAGTAGACTTGCTAATGTTAAAATCATATACATCAAACGTTTCATTAAACACACGACAACACAAAGTCCACGGTTCGTTGAATCCATAGTTGGTCCGATGGGTAGGTTGCCACAGAAGCGTGTAACTACGTAGAACTCTTTGAGGAGCATTGATGTAGATTTGGCTAACAAGAGAGTTGCAATCCACGTCACCGTTAAGCAATCCAAACACGAAGAGTCGCTGAAGTAGTTTCCTCCTTGCTGCCAACGTGTCCAGGTCAATCAGCCTGCACCGTTCTTTGTAAGGCGGCAAATTTACCGAATCGTTCCAGGGCAAAACACGTAAAGCGTATCTTACGAAGTTTCGCTGAATGGCTTCGATTCTGTTAGCTTGAATAGCGTGAAAGGGTGCCCACACAACAACAGCATACTCTAGAAGACTGCGGACGAAAGCACAGTATAGTGATTTCAGCGCGTAGATATCCTGGAATGCGTTTGTGTTTCGTTTCAAGAAACCTAATGTGGCGAATGCTTTAGCAGTTATCATGGAGATGTGCTCATTGAATCTGACTTTAGAGTCGATGATAACACCCAAATCCTTAACTGAAGAAACGAAGAGCAAACTACTGAGTCCTATCCTATAGTCATGTCGTAAGGGCTCACGTGAACGGCTAAAAGATATTGCGTAACATTTTGTGACATTAACCTGCATACCGTTCAATGTACACCAGCGCAAAAAGGAATCAATATACTTCTGGAGTCAGTGCTTGGTACAGAAATCTGTTATCTGTGATAGGGAAAAACCTTTTTTTTTTCCACCACGGAAACACCCCGTTTTATTATTCACAATAATGGATGTGCGTTCACAAAACGCATGAAATCTTAAAAAAAAAACAATATTTATTATTTTTTAATTCAATCGGTAGATAAAAGATGTACCGAGAATTGAACGGAGGGATTTCAAGCTAAAATGTTCTGATCACGAGATATTCACGATCAATTACGAAATTTCGCATAAATGTCCAACCTACGAGGGGGAAGGGGGTTAATTGGTCAAAAAAATTCTGCGTCATTTATGGATGGTCCCTTATTTTACTTCCAAAGCTGTGTCCCAATTGGCGAGTTAAATTTTACTCGTGGTTAAAATTGACAGATGGAAAGTTATCGAATAACCCTGCTATATGAGTGTGGTTACTAGACAAGAAGATAAATTTTGGCAACCGTGGCTGAGTTCTGTTTGAGACCTGATCGATCGAAAATTCCGGGATTTTAGAACATTGAAATTTAACTTAACTTGTTCTTAAGACATATTATAAAAATATAAACAAAGACAAAATTGTAAAAATAGCACTTAAGACAACAATTGTAAAACGGTCTACACTGATTGACGACAAATAAATAAATAAATAAATGAAAATAACTTTCGAAATGTCACGTTTGACCACGAGTTAAATTTACATCGGAAAATGGGACAAATCCCAAGAAGTATTTCTCGATTACTTTTTCGAGACGTATCAGCTTTTATAAACAAAGCATTTGATCGCTGATTTTGCGGAACTGGTAGCTCGCCCACGCCCAGCGTTGCCAACAGTTTTCCAAAAATAACTGGACAAATTCCGCAAAAAAAAGCTGGATCATCATAAAGTCTGGATTTTCTTAAAAAAATATATATATGTCCGGAAATATCATGGTTTTCATTATGCCTAAAAAAATCTTATGTTATTGCTAGCACACTTTCAACGTTGTAGGTGTAAAAAAAACAAAAACACTAGTTTCATTCAAATCGTGTGTTTGAAAAACAGCGATTTTTTCCTATTCCATACAAATATGTTTAAACATAACTCAATCGTGGAATAATCTAATTATTTGAGCAGTTTAAAGTTACGTTTCATTATCCCGAAATTTACAATGGAACACTATTGTTGGATTCAATAAATTACAAATTTATTACTAATTACACACTACGAAAAAGTCATTTACATTTGGTTCCCTGATACCAACACATGTAAGTGGCCCTTTTTACAAAAGAATCCGTTGAAAGAAACGAGAAAATCAATTCAATCAAAAGTTATCTTCGTCGACTTGCTTATGTTTCGGTTAGAGAACACTTAATTTAACATGAAATGTTTGACTACGTTACTACGTTCCATGATTTACGTTCAATATGGATTCCGTCTCGAGAAAAATTACTTATTTATAAGTGTTAGGACCAGTTTTTAGTCAGACATGTGAATTTCCCCCTACCTGGGCCACATTGCGCATCTCGAAACGAAAAACTTTTTCATAAAAGCATTCGTACAAAAAGTGTTTCGTTTCGAGATGCGCAATGTGACCCCTGATAGTGGTGTTGGTATGCGTGGGCGAGCTATCAGTTACGCCAAACCGACGATAAAATGCGTTGTTTACAAAAGCTGATACGTCGCTTCAAAAAAGTAATCGAGATTTGTAGAACACGGGATCGTTATCACTCAGGTGAGGTTGATCCACTTCGGAGTGCTTGTGCCATCGTGGCGACGGGGCTCGTTGCCAGCAGCCAGTGATCTCGACAGGAACCGTTACCTTCCTACTGCTGCTGCTGTCTAATGTTCCCTACCAGAAACTCAGCCAGATTGTGACGGCTATAAGCAATCGCATGGATTTACAGATTTTTTTTTTCCTTGATTTGTTTTCCGTCGATGTTGTTTTCCGTGCTGCGCACCAATGCTACCGACGCCAGGGAGGCAGCTCCCACACCTGGACCCTACCTATCGACCCATCAGCTCATGAACCGGGGACCAACGGTTTTACTTCCCTTCCGAAGGAAGGCGTGATCAGAGATGTTATGCCTCAAAACATCCCGGCGGCGCCGACTGGGATTGAACCCAGGCCTGCTGGGGTGAGAGGTAATCACGCTTACCTCTACACCACCGGCGCCGCTTATGGATTTACAGAGTTATAAGTGGTCAAAGCCTGACCACTTTTCGTAACGCGGTCGATTTTGGTTTTTTTAAATTGCACATCCAATATGTTGCCGAAAAACGTAATCCTACGTCAAAATTAGCATCACAGACAAACGGACGTAACTCTTCATTGTGTATCTTCATTCACGCATTTAACGGTTGATTTGAATTCTATCAGTTCCGCGAACTACTCGCCGCAGCGCTGGCATCGGATCACTTTGACGTTTATATACATTCTATAGAACTTTTATGCAATATTGTTTGCAAGTTAGCGAGCAAGCTTGTTTTCCGCGAAAAGCCCGAGAGATGTCGTTACTGAGGTTTGGTAGAAGTTTCTATGTTTTCAAGAAAAAAAATTTCAAAGAGTTACCTCTGTTTGTCTGTGATAGGATATTTTACCTTCTTTTAAACATGAGCAGTTCTTTGGAGTTGTGTTGTTCGGCATTCGGCCAAATGACCCGGAACCCGCAATACAATGATTTGAACTCGAATATGGATTCAGGACTAGAAAACTGCATAAAATGTGTGAAAGTTACGATTTTAGACAAACAAATCATTACGAATGGTTTTTGCATGGAGTGCGATGTGTTCCAGTTTTAGTGCTGTGCCGACAAGGTTATTTTCAATTGGTTAGCACAACCAAACTGGTCAAAATTCATACAACCGATGTCTCTGATTTTATTCGCATGGGCAATATTTTTTGTGAATACTGTGTAAAAATATATTCAAATACTAACTGTCGACACGTTATGCAATATTAAAATCTTATCACTCATTATTACTCTTATTACTCTCATAATAACTACAATATACAAACTACAAGCTGTGCTATATCTGATAATTCGTCCCTTCAGCAAGTCATCTCCAACGAGAAGAAAAATGTCGTCATTTCGCCGTTTTCAATCAGCACCTGTTTATCGTTTGCTGCCATGGGTGCAGGTGGACTGACCGCCGAAGAGATGTTCAAAGTGCTCAAGTACGATCCAGCACAGAAGTCATCCATTGCTGAGAGCTACGGTAATGTTATGACAAATCTGGATGGCAACAAAAGCCTTAGAATTGCCAACAAAATGTATATTATGGAAAACTATTCGGTAAAGTTCAACTTCCATGAAATTGCGAAAAAAAGTTTTCGTTCGGAAGCGGAGAATGTTAACTTTCAAGATAATACTGCTGCAGCTAAAAAAATAAACACCTGGGTAGAGCAGAAAACAAATGATAAAATTAAAGACTTGATTTCGCCTGATTCTTTGGATGAATACACCCGTTTGGTGTTGGTTAATGCAATTCACTTCAAGGGTACATGGACGCATCAATTCAATCCAGAAAGTACCAGACCGATGCCATTCTGGATCAGCGGAACGGAGTCTGTTGATGTTCCAATGATGAACACCAAGAAACATTTCAAACATGGTGTTTTCGATGACCTTGGTCTTGCAGCTCTAGAACTTACGTACAGCGATAGTGATGTGAGCATGCTCATCTTACTTCCACACGAACGTGATGGATTGACTAAGCTTGAAGAGAATCTTCAGAATATCGATATTCCTGAAATGCTTACCAAAATGCATAGCCAAGAAGTAGAAGTATTTTTGCCAAAATTTAAAATTGAATTTGACTTGGATCTCAAGGACACTTTAGAAAAGGTAAGTCCATCTCATAAATTGCTATATCGACCAAGAGTAATGAACTGTTCCTTCACAGCTCGGAATGGGCACTATGTTCAGCGACAGAGCTGATTTCAGCGAGTTGTTGGAACAGAATGAGCCATTGAAGGTTTCAAAAGTTGTACACAAAGCGTTCATCGAAGTGAACGAGGAAGGAGCGGAGGCTGCTGCTGCTACGGGTAAGATAAACTTTTTTTTTATATACGATGGTATTCAGCATGCTGACAAGTTGCCTCATTGTGTGCAAGTTGGTTCTGGTGCATACCGTCCTTGTTTGGTTTATGTTGTGTGTAAATTCTTGCTTAAGTGCTCTTAATATTTTCCTCGTTTGTAGGGGCTATTGTACGAATGAAAAGAAGCGCGCCTTTCCCGCCAGCCCACTTTAATGCAGATCACTCTTTTCTTTTCGTATTGATTAAAGGGAATCATTTTTTGTTTATGGGAAAAAACATTTATCCAGATAAAATGACGCAGTTATTCCATGATGAGCTTTAATTGTTTTCTCGAAAATAATAAAAATTAATTGAAACTCAATAAATAAAAAAATTAAACTCAATGCATCTTAACTGCTTTCTTTATGTTCGATAATCCGAGATAAAAGTTAATTTTTTTTTTCAAAACTTTGGAACTCTTTTACAGTTTGATGTTGCAAAACTATCCCAAATGAAACATTTGTGTCCCAAATTTTAGTATACATAGTATGATTCTGAGGTAAATGCATATTCGAAATCTGCATTAAGAATGGAACTGAAATCCAAAACGTCATCAATTTTGAAGCATAAATTAGCATCATAACGCCCTCGGTGGGACTTTATATGGGAGTGAGCTGTCAATTTGTTTGTTTAATGTCAAAAAGCGATGTTTTATTTTGCTATAAATCTTGATTTAAAAATTCGAGATGAAAATGTATGGGATCGAACATATTTTCGGTGTGCTTAGAAAACGAAGTTCTTTCAGATTATTTTATCACAAAGTTTCTGTTAGATGTCATTTATATTTCAATATTGTTCATATTCTTAGCTAAAAAAAAAGGCTGCATAGGGAAAGAACGTGTCATAATCTAATCATTCCGATATCTTAGCAGCGTTATCAATTAAGCGCTTGCGCATGCTACTGATCCGCCATCCGTTTTATTTTATTAATCTCCATCTTTGCGTCACCATCCTAAACTAATGTTACAATTCCTAGGTATGATTATGATGATGAGGTGCATGATTATTCATCCTTACTTCACCGTCGACCATCCCTTCCTGTACATCTTGAAGCAAAATGAGCAGATGATATTCGTTGGACGAATGAACCAAGTATGAACACCGAAGTTCCTTTATACCGTTATTCATGATTCCGCTTGATCGTCTAATCCGTTTAATATCGTTTTGTACTGCTCTCAACATCGGCCGAACGACACCAAATAAATTCATACGTATTGGTATTGAACGAAAAGAGGAGTAACGGAGTTAATTTTCATTTAAATTGTAGAAGTTATCCCTAATAAAATAATACCATTCCCGGACGATAACCCTAATGATAGCTATTCCACAAATGGTTGGATGATACTCTGAACACGTCGTTAAGCAAGATATCCGTATATACAGGGTGGCAAGTGAACCAGGAAAACCAGGAAAAAAATTTTACCAGGAAAAACCGGGAATTGTTTTAAGCAAAACCAGGAAAAATAATAATTAACACGGGGGACGACCCCGGCGTAGTGGTTAACATCCATACCTCTCACGCCCCCGGACAAGTCACGAATAACCCGAGTGTTAAAGTGACTATAATAAAGTGACGTCGCTTTACGTTACTTTATGTTCTCAGTACAAACACAATATAACCTCACACTGTTTTTACCTTCTAAGGCTCTGAACCATTTGGTGGATTATTTTAACTTTTGGTTAAAATTTGACAGATGGAAAGTTATCGATTAACCCTGCTATCCGAGCGTGGTTACTTCTGACAGACAAGAAGTTAAATTTTGACAACTGTGGCTGAGTTCTACTTGAAAACCGGTCGATCGACAGCACAGGGATTTTCGAACATAGAGAATAACTTTCGAAATGTCACTTTTAACCACGAAATAAATTTAACTCGGCAAATGGTTCACAGCCTAAGGCTCTGAACCATTTGGTGGATTATTTTAACTTTTAGTTAAAATTTGACAGATGGAAATTTATCGATGAACCCTGCTATCCGAGCTTTGTTATTCCTGACAGACAAAAAGTTAAATTTTGACAACCGTGGGTTGAAAACCGGTCGATCGACAGCACGGGAATTTTCGAACATAGAAAATAACTTTCGAAATGTCGCTTTTAACCACGAGTTAAATTTAACTTGGTAAATGGTTCACAGCCTAAAAGTCCAGATATATATATATACTATTTCGAAATTGGTGTCTTATCTTCTTAGGCTCTGAACCATTTGGTGGATTATTTTAACTTTTGGTTAAAATTTGACAGATGGAAAGTTATCGATTAACCCTGCTATCCGAGCGTGGTTATTTCTGACAGACAAGAAGTTAAATGTTGACAACCGTGGCTGAGTTCTTCTCGAAAACCTGTCGATCGACAGCACAGGGATTTTCGAACATCAAGAATAACTATCGAAATGTCACTTTTAACCACGAGTTAAATTTAACTCGGCAAATGGTTCACAGCCTTATTTGGCTAACTTTCCTACTGCGAATTTACGCCGGTTCTCAACTTATAGCGAATTTGTTTTTGATTCAGTCCCAACCTGGATCGGGTATGAAGATTGGGTCTGCTTGTTGCCTTTCAAACGTCAGTGTTAACGTTTGTTTTTGTAACCTGGCTCGGGTTGAGGTTCGCACTGACAATAAGCTCGGGTTCGCACGGGTTGGAACTGGTTCCAACCTGGATAATAAACAAATTCGCTATTAGTGTTCTAGACGCACTTCCACAGTTGTTAATTTAGAGCATACACACTATTTTTAGATTACTGGAGTCAGTAAAATTTTACTGGGTTTTTAAATTGCAGATCGGCCAGTAATCATTGCATCAATCACAGAAATAATTTGCATTACAGAACTGTCCATAAAGTCAATCTGTCAAAAATAACTGTTCCTTCAGTAATTGGTTCGAGTTGCGTATACTGGAAAACCCAGTATTTTCTTTTTGTTTATTTTGCTGCAATTTAACTGAGAAGACAGTTATTTTGTTCATTATTATACCGTGTTACCCAGTTATATTAAAAGTAGTGAATGTGCAGTAATAAAAGCATGAATCCTGGTATAATTCACCGTTTTTAATATGCCAATTAATATGACGACTTAATCCCTTGACGTACCCCGAAATAGCGCGTCGACAGTGAAAGCAAACTATGCAAACATCCATTTTGTTAATCAAAATTTGTTGGAGATCAAGGAACTGCAAAAAGAGTAAATAATAAGTGTTGGTACCAACGAAATAGTTCTTCAATTTCGCTGTCGAGCTTTCTCAGTTCCGTCATGATATAATTCAAATTTTAACAAAACTGTGCGATTAAACACTTGCTCCCGGATTTTACTGAAGCTAAAATGGCGGCGGGATTAAAATTGACAGGTTAGAGTTTTACAATTCGTGGTCGGTAAAACAAGGTGGCTATTTTGCTGACCAGTCGGTAAAAAAAATAAAGACTACTTTGTGCACAGTAATTATTTTTACTGACTTTTCGTGAAATCACGAAAATTTGAAAATTAACGACTTTCTCAGTAAATAAATGTTCTGTGTACAGTATTTTGCATCAAACGATACCGAAGTTCAGTTTGTGTTTTACAGAACGTCGATTATTCACCTGATTTAAACTGAATTTACAGTGTAAATCTTTCGTTTTACCGTGTAAGCCCAGTACAAAAAAATACCGAACAACTAAATGCTGGATTAGTGTGTATGTATTATATGGCTTGGTACGTGGTACATCTTTACTACGATGGAAGTGATTCGTATATTTTTTCTTTCTTTTCCGGCTTTGGTTCAAATAGCTAAATCTATTGATCTAGACTGAATACTTTCAGTCCATCGATAGTGGAATAGCGTAGGATCCATATTGTAAAGATTCCCTATTTTCAGCTTTTCTACAGGCTGGAGTTGTTGTTTGAACCATTTAGTTTATCAATTTAATTTATCTGTATAACAATTATTCACAAGCATTCGTCCAGGTTAATTCAAGAATAGTTTATCACATTCTTGAACTTTTTCCAATCGATATTACGGGTAAGATCGTACGCGACGTTAACGGGTTCCGACGGATTGAACCCACTGGCAACTGAAACTTTTATCGGCAAGTGATCACTACCGTGGGGATCTTGGATTACATTCCACGTGATATCCAACGATAATGAGTTATAGCAAAGTGTGAGGTCTAATCCGAGGTCTAATCTACTTCCATTCGAGGCTGGGCCAGCCAAACGTGTTACTTCTCCATTGTTAAGGATTGTCATATTGAAACTGTCGCAGAGGTCATATATCAAAGTAGAACGGTTGTCATCATACAGTTCCCCCCAGCCTGTACTATGGGAATTAAAATCTCCCATAATCAACCATGGAGCAGGAAGTACCGAACAGATATCTGAAAGTTGTTTTCGATTAACAACGGCTCTAGGAGGAATATAAACACAAGCAATACAAAGGCTCTTACCTTTAAAAATAGCCTGACATGCGACAACTTCAATACCTGGAAATTGTTTAAGATTCACTCTATAGAAGGAAAGACACTTTGATCTCCAAAAATACCCCTCCTCCACGCGAATCATCACGATGTGATCGATGAAGCCCTAATGTCGGTAGAAGGGCTTCCACCGTTGGAGGAATATAACTTCCTCTCCAATCTGATCTTGAACAGCGCGCTTCAAGCTCAAACTCGGCCGGTTCCAGGAACGTCTTTCCGTAGAAAACCTCCTTTCCCTTGGTGGGACCAGCAATGCACTGAGGTTTATCGTAAAAAGTCTGACGCGTTTAAGTTTTTTTCCGGAAAAGTGGAACACCCGTACATTTCGAAGCGTACTCGGCTCTTGAACGCCTCATCAAAGCCAAGAAACGCGAATACCGGCGGCAATTCGTGGACGAATTATCGCGCGAAACGTCGATAAATACGCTGTGGAACACGGTGCGAAGGATGCGTAACCGGTCTTCAAACAACGTGAGCGAGGAGTAACTCGGATAGTTGAATTCTCCAGTTTGCGCGAAAAGTATGTCCTGATTCTGTGCCGGCACAGATGATTCCTCGCGAAACGACGAATTCGGTAGACGAAATCAGCTAGCCATTTTCAATGCTAGAGCTCTCACTCGCGCTCCTTTCGTATGGCAATTCGGCTCCGGGGGCTGATAGAATCAAGTTCAACTTGTTGAAGAACCTCCCAGACGTCGCTAAGAGGCGCATGTTGAACTTGTTTTGTCAGTTCCTGCAGCTCAATATTGTTCCGTATGATTGGAGACAGGTGAGTGTTATAGCCATTAAAAAAACCTGGAAAACCCGCGTCAGATCATAACTCGTATCGTCCCATCGCGATGTTATCGTGCATTCGAAAATTGTTGGTGAAAATCATTGATCATTTTTCACCTGGACAAATGAGTTGGGATGAACCACCTACTCTCAGATACTCAATTTGGTTTCCGTAGGGGCATGGGAACGAGTGACTGTCTCGCGATGCTTTCCACAGAAATTCAGTTGGCTTTTGCTAAAATGCTTCTGTGTTCTTGGATATTAAGAGGGCTTTTGATACAGTATCGGTTGAAGTCCTTTTAGACAAACTCCACGCTTGTGACCTTTCTCCATTAATAATAACTTTTTGTACAATTTGCTGTCAGAGAAACATATGAGTTTTTCTCATGGAAACTCTACAGCTTCTCGATTTAGTTACATGTGTCTCCCCCAGGGCTCATGTTTAAGCCCCCTTTTGTATAATTTCTACGTCAGAGAAATTGACAATTGTCTAAGTAACAACTGCACGTTGAGACAACTTGCAGATGACGGCGTAGTGTCTATGACAGAGCCCAAAGGGGTCGACCTGCAAGGACCATTACTGGATACCTTAGACAATTTGTCTACTTGGGCTATCCAGCTAGGTATAATCACAGACAAACAGACATAACACTCACAATTACATTCATCGCAAATAATTTTTTAGATGGGAATGTGCTTGCATTTGTCATGGTGGCGCCGCTGAAGCATTGAGCAAGCCACCACATTTCGAACTTATCAGTGATGCCAGTTCTTTTTCACGTCTATTTAGGACATGTCAGCTCTTGAAAATGATAAGTGGTC